GCAACGCATGCATTGAGAGAAACTGCTGCTGCCGACGATCATGATCATAGCCTAGAAGAAGATAGAGTTCCTGTAGAGGCTTCTTACGGGAGCAAGAGTTGTGCGTCTGATTCCCACGAGCCGCCGCGCAGCTATTCGCCAAACACCGATCACGTGAGAATCTGAAACAAATGCCCTGCAGAAAAGTAAACGTTGCACGCGCCCTGGCGTACGTTCAACTGCTTTTGAGCAAGCCGCGCGCTTCGAACGCGCGGCGCGGCGATTCGCCGAATTCAGATACTATGAGGTTCAGGATCAACATGCTGTGCTGGAAAGACGGCGCTACGGGGATGAACGCGCAACTCTGGCTCCTGAAAGAAGCAGGAGTTCTTGTATAGGAATTCCTAGAGTTCTTATACAGGAACTCTAGGAGTGCCACAAGATAACCTTGCCATCCTGCGGCACGTGCGGCAGCTCGCCGGAGCGTTGCGGGACGCCTGTAAAGAATCTCAATGAGCGACACCTTAATGACTATTCTGAAATTACTTCAAAAGCATTTGAAACTTATAAAATATTTTTTTTATTCGATGAACGAATCGAATAGGGCTACTACCGATTCGCTATCTAGAAATTGTTAATATTGGCACACCTCATAGGGGCTGCAAAGTACCTACCGCTTTCCGCCAAACTGCGGACGCGCCGAAAAATTTACGACCGAGGCTGTACTCAGAGGGCCTCCAGAGATCCACTGCAGCAGAGAACGCAACGGGCTACTCATAATCTTGAGAATTCGGCGCCGCAAAGTACGTTACGCCATCCATCCCAACGGCGGGCACGCCGAGAACCTCGTGACTGAGACCGCACTCAGCGGCCCTCCTGAGATCCACTGCAATAGGAGACTCAACGGGGTTCTCATAACCGTAAGAATCCGGGCCGCAATGAGCCTTCCGCCGTCCTGCTCAAGGTCGGACGTGCTTAGTAATTCATGACCCAGACCGTTCTCATGGCCCTCCCGAGATCCACCGCAATAGTTGACGCAATGGGGTTCTTATAACCGTGAGAATCCGGGCCGCAAAGAGCCTTCCGCCGTCCTGCTCAAGGTCGGACGCACTTAGATATTTATGACCCAGACCATACTAACGGCCCTCCCGAGATCCAACGCAATAGTTGGCCCAACGGGTTTCTTATAACCGCGAGAATCCGGGCCGCAAAAAACCTTCCGCCGTCCTGCTCAAGATAGGAAGTGCTTAGTGATTCATGACACAGACCATACTCACGGCCCTCCCGAGATCGAACGCAATAGATGACGCAACGGGTTTTTTTATAACCGTGAGAATCCGGGCCGCAAAGAGCTTCTGCCGTCAGGCTCAAGGTCGGACGCACTTAGTAATCCATGACCCCAGACCATACACACGGCTCTCTCGAGATCCACCGCAATAGTTGACGCAACAAGGGTCTTATAAACGTGAGAATCCGGGCCGCAAAAAGACTTCCGCTGTCCTGCTCAAGGTCGGACGCGCTTAGTAATTTCATAACCCAGATTATACTCATTTGGCCTCCCGAGATCCACCGCTATACTTGACGCAACGGGGTTCTTAAAGCCGTGAGCATCCGGGCCGCAAGGAGCCTTCCGCCGTCCTTGTCAATGTCGGACGCGCTTAGTAATTTATGACCCAGACACTTCTCATGGCCCTGTCGAAATCCACTGCAATAGTTAACGCAACGGGGTTCTTATAACCGTGAGAATCCGGGCCGCAAAGAGCCTTCCGCCGTCCTGCTGAATCTCGGACGCGCTTTGTAATTCATAACCCAGAATCTACTCACGGCCCTGTCGAGATCTGCCGCAATAGTTGACGTAACGGCGTTCTTATAACCATAAGAATCCGGGCCGCAAAGAGCCTTCCGCCGTCCTGCTGAATGTCGGACGCGCTTTGTAATTCATGACCTAGACCCTACTCACGGCCCTGTCGAGATCTGCCGCAATGGTTGACGTAACGGCGTTCTTATAACCGTGAGAATCCGACCGCAAAGAGCCTTCCGCCGTCCTGCTGAATGTCGGACGCGCTTTGTAATTCATAACCCAGACCCTACTCACGGCCCTGTGAGATCTGCCGCAATAGTTGACGTAACGGCGTTCTTATAACCGTGAGAATCCGGGCCGCAAAGAGCCTTCCGCCGTCCTGCTGAATGTCGGACGCGCTTTGTAATTCATAACCCAGACCCTACTCACGGCCCTGTCGAGATGTGCCGCAAAGTTGACGTAACGGCGTTCTTATAACCATGAGAATCCGGGTCGCAAAGAGCCTTCCGCCGTCCTTCTCAATGTCGGACGCGCTTAGTAATTTATGACCCAGACCCTACTCACGGCCCTGTTGAAATCCACCGCAATAGTTGACGCAACGGCGTTCTTTTAACCGTGAGAATCCGGGTCGCAAAGAGCCTTCCGCCGTCCTGCTGAATGTCGGACGCGCTTTGTAATTCATAACCCAGACCCTACTCACGGCCCTGTCGAGATCTGCCGCAATAGTTGACGTAACGGCGTTCTAATAACCGTGAGAATCCGGCCGCAAAGAGCCTTCCGCCGTCCTGCTGAATGTCGGACGCGCTTTGTAATTCATAACCCAGACCCTACTCACGGCCCTGTCGAGATCTGCCGCAATAGTTGACGTAACGGCGTTCTTATAACCATGAGAATCCGGGCCGCAAAGAGCCTTCCGCCGTCCTGCTGAATGTCGGACGCGCTTTGTAATTCATAACCCAGACCCTACTCACGGCCCTGTCGAGATCTGCCGCAATAGTTGACGTAACGGCGTTCTTATAACCATGAGAATCCGGGCCGCAAAGAGCCTTCCGCCGTCCTTCCCAATGTCGGACGCGCTTAGTAATTTATGACCCAGACCCTACTCACGGCCCTGTTGAAATCCACCGCAAAAGTTGACGCAACGGCGTTCTTTTAACCGTGAGAATCCGGGTCGCAAAGAGCCTTCCGCCGTCCTGCTGAATGTCGTACGCGCTTCGTAATTCATGACCCAGACCCTACTCACGGCCCTGTCGAGATCTGCCGCATGAAGGGTTGTAACGGGGTGCTCAAGCGTGAGACTTCGTTGTCATAGAAGACCCTCCGCCGCCCACCCCAACGGCGGACGCGGCGAGAACGTTATGAGTGAGACCGGGCTCAGCGAGCCTCCTGAAATCCACTGCAGCAGGATACGCGTCGGTGTTCTCCTATCCGTGAGAATCTCGGGACGAGAAGGACTTTCGGTTGTGTTCTCCAAGGGTAAACGCGCCGAGTACCTGATGACCGACACCGTACTCAGCGTCCCTGCCGAGATCACTGCAACAGTTGACGCAACGGCGTTCTCTTAACCGCGAAAGTCCGGGGCCGCGAAGGTCCCTCCCATGACCGCTCCAACAGTGGACGCCCGAGTAATTTACGACGAGACCGTACTTAGCGAGCCTCCGGAGATCCGCTGCAACAGAGGACCCATACGGTTCTCCTAACCGTGAGAACTCGGGCCTCAGAAAACCTTCCGTCGTCCTGCCCAAGGTCGGACGCGCTGAGTAACTCATGACCGAGGCCGTACTCAGCGGGCCTCCCGGGACCTGCAGCAAGAAGGGGGTAACGGTGTAATCAAGCAGGAGAATTCGGAGTCCTAAAGGACCATCCGCCGTCCACCCCAACGGCGGACGCGCCGAGTACGTTATGACTCAGAACATACTCACTCAGTGGGCCTCCCGAAATCTGCTGCAAGCGGGAACGCAACGGCCGAGGTTGTTGTAAGTGTGCGAATTCGGGGCCGCAAAGGACCTTCCGCCGTCCAGCCGAATGACGGACGGGGCGAGCACGTCATTACCGAAACCGTACTGAATTGAAGAAGAAAAAAATAAAAATACCGCATCTCCACGTGGTGAATGATGTTGATTGGGGCGAAGCTCAGGTGGTGCTGATGTTACTGATTTTGGTCATAGGTAGTGCTGATGGTGCCGTTTTCATTCATGTCAGTAGTATAATGTGTGGTTTTCTTCTTTTTTCTTCTTTTTAAAAAGACAGATGGGATGGCAACTCCAGAAGCCCTTACTCTTTTTTGTCTTCTTTTTGTTGATACTGATTTTGGTCATAGGTAGTGCTGATGGTGCCGTTTTCATTCATGTCAGTAGGAGAATGTGTGGTTTTCTTTTTTTTTCTTTTTTAAGAAGACAGATGGGATGGCAACTCCAGAACCCCGTACTCATTTTTTCTTCTTTTTCTTGATACTGATTTTGGCCATAGGTAGTGCTGATGGTGCCGTTTTCATTCATGTCAGTAGAAGCATAGAGTTATTATAATGTAGGCTAGAGGTTCAAGTGGCGCTAGTGTGCTGACGCTAATTGAAGCAGACAGCAAACAGTCGAAAATTGACTTCCGGTAATGGATTTCTATGGGCAAAAAAGTGAGTGCATTTTCTCTCAGCGCCCGATCGTAAGAGCAAATATCCCAAATAATTCTTACAGACTAGGTAGCTTGGAAAACTTCTCAGTCCGACCGACAAAATAATTGGTCAGTTCCGGCGTTTTTCTTTCAAATTGATCACATTAAAAACGGTGCTTTAATGGCTCCGTGCGTGCATTTATGTGCACTGTCGGGCACTGTTAGCGCGAACACTACGTCGGCGCTTTTCAGCATGAGGGATATACGTGCCAAATGAACGAAGTATATTTGGAAATTAAGGGGGACGGCGAGAACTACGCAGTAACAGTGGATCAGTAACTACCCGTGCATGTACGATAAAAATAAGTTGAAGGTCACGTAGTCTATTCCGATTTTGAATAAGTAATATAACGCTTTATTCTTTCTGCTCTGAGCGAAGCTGCTCGTTCTACGTTCGAAATATCACCCGCACACTCGAAATCTTTTGAGAACAAGTGCCCGATAAAAGCTGCCCGGCAGAGAAAGCAATACAAGGAGACACCTTTAATAGCCCACGGACTTTATTATCTACTTTTTGAATGTTCTTATCTACTTTTTGAATGTTCGTGGGCACGGTGGCATCGCCAAGATGACAGTCGTTAACAGCTTCGTGTTCATTGCACAGGTACTGCTGCTTCTGCCGCCGCACTGGGCCGGTGACGCCGTCAAAAGCTGTCCGGCGGCGATTCATCGAGCTGAGCGCATCATCACGGCTGATAACAAGGAAACAGCGACTCATACAGACCGAAATTTTCTTCGGTGGACCTTCAACGAAAACCTGGAATTCTCAAGATTCACATCGCCATCGACATCGGCTGCCTCAGCGCCAGCGCTGCCAAGTATAAAAGACCACCCCCGATCTGCACTCCACTGTGGGCACGGTGGCATCGCCAAGATGACAGTCGTTAACAGCTTCGTGTTCATTGCACAGGTAGGAAAACGCTATCCTTTCTGTTACCGTAGCAACAACCTTTGTCTTTTTTTGCTGCCGTGCCCACGGACCTGTTTTGCCTTGTTGCGTGAAATGCGTGCACGATTTGCTGATTTGCTCATGCTGTGCGGAGATATAGAGACCAATCCCGGTCCTGACAGGGCAGCGATGATGGAAATGTTAACTAATATCTCGGTCGACATTAAGGAAATTAAACTGAGCCAGGCTGCGACAACATCGAGACTAGAGAAAATAGAATCGCGCCTCGAAGGCCTTGAAGAACTCAGGTCCGTTGTGAACAAAAACTGCGACAAGACCAACCGCCTCGAAGCCACCATCACATCACTCTCGAACAAAATTGATGATTTAGAGAACCGTAGCAGAAGAAACAATCTAATTATTTTTGGTCTTTCTGAACTACCTAACGAAGAGAGTAGCACCCTCGAGGATAGAGTAACTAAAGAGATTCTTGGTGGAAAACTAAATGTAAAGATTAATGGAATCGATCGCATACATCGCCTTGGGAGGCCAGCTCATGGCAAAACCCGTCCAGTAATATTTCGACTCGTAAACTTTAAAGATAAATTGAATATTTTACGCAACTGCAATAAATTGAAAAATGAACGACTCTCGATTAGTGAAGACTACTCAAAGCGAATTCAGGGCATTAGAAAAAAATTACTTGATAGCTCGAAATCAAATAAACTTGCTGGTGATAAGGTCACGCTTACCTATGACAAAATTAAGATAAATGGCACAGTATACATTTGGAATGAGGCCATAAACGATAAGGTTCCCATATCTGAGGAAACCCGGAATCCCAGTACGTGACCAAGCCCTACTCAAGTCAACCGTGTATATGAATTTCGATTACTAAACCTAAACGCGCGAAGCATCGTAAATAAAACTGATAAACTTGAAGCTGCTGTTTTGAATACCCAACCTGATATTATAGCAATGACAGAAACTTGGCTATCAGACAGCATTCTTGACTGTGAAATCACGCCCCCAAACTATACGATTTTGCGCAAGGATAGAGGTTCTCGCGGTGGTGGAGTAGCGATTCTTGTAAAAAATGGCATTGTATGTACCCCCTTACCCGATTGCCCAGAAATTGAGTGCCTGTGTTGTAAAATTGCTTATAAAAATACGTGCTGCTATATACTTGTTCTCTATAGACCTCCCACTTCCACTTCAGGGTTTTTCAAAAGTATGTATAGTTATATCAATGATAATATTAATGTGAGCAGTAAGATTATAATTGCAGGTGACTTCAATCTACCTTCCTTAGAATGGTCCTCTCTATCGAAATGTACAAAATCATCTCTCGGCGCAGATATCCTTACAGATCTATGTTTTCATTATAACCTCACCCAAATAGTTACTGAAAATACCCGTATTCAGGGAACGTCGCAATCAATGCTCGATCTCGTCTTTGTCACCGATCATTTCCTGAAAGATGAACACAGCGTAGAAGTTTTAAATGACATATCTGATCATGAGATGGTTTTGTGCTGCTTCAAAACGAACATCCCAACTTCTGGCAATCCCCAGACTTGTAAGGTTCTGAACTTTGACAGAGCAGATGACGTTGGCGTGCTCGACTTCTTTGATACACACTTCGATAACTTTCTTCTACTGTCCAAGAGCGACCGTAACACTGTTGATATGCTTTGGAACGAATTCAAAACGGCAGTTAACACGTGTGTCTCATGTTTTATTCCACAACGAACTAAACGAATTAAGAAAAACCCTTGGATAACGCGAGAAATCATCCATGTAAAGCGCAAAATAAATAGGCTTCGTAAGAAGGCAAAGAAAACCAGAACTCTTCTAAATAAGAACAAAATGGCATTACTCAACAGCGATCTTGGACAAAAAATCAAGTCGGCTAAATACAATTTTTTCAATATCACTCTCCAATCGTTTATTCAATCTTCACCCGTCAAATTCTGGAACTATGTCAACCCAAAAAACAAATCGAGTCTAGAAACGCTCTTCGGTGACAAAGCAAATCTTGCAAAAGCCTTCAATGATTATTTTCTTTCGGTCTTTACAACAGATAATGGTAATGCACCCTCATTCGCGTCCAATTCTCCAGTCTTGGCTGTAAATGATGTTGTAATTACCGAACAGGGTATCTTATCTCTTCTACTCAACCTGAACACAAAAAAAAGTGCTGGGCCGGACGATATACCAAATGAATTTCTAAAAAGATATGCCGAATGGGTAACAAAATATCTTGTTATAATATTTACACAATCACTTAACAAAGGGCAACTTCCTAAAGACTGGAAGTTAGCGAAAGTCATCCCCATTCATAAGTCTGGAAACAAAAACGAATTTGCGAACTACAGGCCCATCTCCCTTACCTCAACTTGCTGTAAATTGCTCGAACACATTGTTCTGAACCATGTCTCCACCCACATCGAGAATAATCAAATACTTACTCCATATCAGCACGGTTTCAGACGTCACCTTTCAACAGTGACGCAACTTGTTGAAAGCGTTCACGATTTTTCCACTGTCATAAACAATAGAGGACAGGTTGACGCCATATTCATCGATCTGTCAAAAGCCTTCGACAAGGTATCTCACCCAAAGCTATTGTTTAAGCTAGAATCTATACTAGGAGCAGGAAAAATTCTCAGGTGGATTGAAGACTACCTTTCAGATCGCTACCAGTACGTAGCACTTAATGCGGACTCATCATTCAAAGGCAAAGTTTCATCGGGAGTCCCCCAGGGATCAGTACTGGCACCTTTTTTGTTCCTAATATACATAAATGACCTGGTCAAAGATGTGAACGTAAAAATTCGCCTCTTTGCTGATGATTGCATACTTTACTCACAAATAAATAACCCAAATGACCAGATTCACCTAAATAATGCGCTTCAACACATCATAAATTGGTGCCACGACTGGCAGATGGAAATAAATTCGAATAAAACTGTATTTATGACCATAACCAATAAAAGACAACAATACTCCTTTCCTTACCAGATAGGCAATAACCTCTTGGAACAAGTCGGTGAATACAAATACCTCGGCCTCAATATAAGTCAAAATTTACGTTGGGACTCACACATTCACTCCACAACTAATAAAGCTCTAAACAAACTGAGTTTCCTTAAACGAGTCTTAAAATTTGCATCTCCTGCCACTAAATTACTAGCCTAGAAAACTTTAATACGTCCTATGCTCGAGTACGCCAACGTCGTCTGGTTTCCCCACACAGTCTCCGGCATCAATAAGATAGAAAGAGTTCAGAGAATGGCCGCGAGGTTTATTTGCAATAAGTATAGTAGGCACGTCTCTCCCTCTGAACTTTGCAGGCAACTGGGTCTCTCCTCTTTAGAAAAAAGAGCAAAAACAGCTAGACTTAAATTTCTATACGAATTAGCCAACGATCATTTCAACCTACCAAAAGAAAATTATCTTATCCATACAAGCAAACGATTAACACGGTACAACCATGGCAAGCTTTACGAGGAAGACGTCGCTCATAATAACTGCTTTAAATTCTCTTTTTTTCCCCGAACCATTAACGAATGGAACCACCTGCCTAAAACGTTGTTCATTCCTCTTCTATTGAAATCTTCCTCGATTACGTAGATGCCCACTTTTCATCATAAACTAACATTTTATGCTGTTTTTAAAAGTGCAGTGTATCTATTGTATTGAAGTTGTTTACTAATTTTTCATTCGCGACTTCTATATTTGCTTTGAATATTTACCTGCAAATTGTGTGTTGAATATTATTTTTCTGCTTGTAATATCTCAAACTGTACCACCCTACAACAACCCCGAATGGGGTTAGTAGTATTGGAAATAAATAAATAAATAAATAAATCTGCTCATGCACAACGGGGTCATTTTTATATAGTCACAGGACTGGCATATTATCAATATATAAGCGTCACCGGAATGCTGGCAAGCCTTGAACACACTTTATATTCCTTTAGATTGTAATTTTGCTTTAAATCGTCGCTTGTTTTTACACAACTGATGCGGAACACACGTTTGGGACTGAAATATAGCGAAGTTAAACTTCATTCACTTATGAACAAAAATGCGCTAACTAAAGCAATTACACTTTTACAGTGTTAATCAAGGTACATACTATTCGGTACAACCCAAATGACCAAAGTGTTCCGTGTTATTTTTCGGCGAAAAGACAAAATGCACGCGCGTTTTCTCAGAGGAATGCACATGGAGCACCGCAAAAGTAGACTGGTTGCTCTCTGCTTCAATTTGCGTCACGGAAGTTGCATAGACACTAGCGCCAGTTGAACCTCTAGCGTACATTATAATAACTCTATGAGTAGAAGAATGTGTCGTTTTTTCTTTTTCTTTTCTTAAAAAGACAGATGGGATGGCATCTCAGAGCCCCCTGTTTTTTTTTTTCTTCTTTTTCTTTTTTGATTTTTTTTTCATCTTTTCTTTTCTCGCTCTCACTGCTGAACTCACGAGCAGGAGCTCGTGAGCTCCTGTTCGTGAGCTCACGAGCAGAGGCACGTCGGACGCTTTTTTTCATTTTTTTTTCTTGCTCTCGCTGCTGAACTCACGAGCAGGGGCACGCCGGACGGCGGACGGACATACGGACATGGCTAGCCCCTAAGGAGCCTCGCCCCTAAAAAGAAGACAAACACTCTGCTGTTGAGTTTGTACTCTTTTCGCCCTCCCTCTTCTCGTGTACTTTTATAAGTTCAGCTGGCACCTTCAGTAGCGATAATGATTCGCCCATGTTGCGGTCATGATGTCCTGAACTTCCGCTTTCCCAAGTTTAGGTTGGTCGTGTAGCCTTCGACACCACGGAGCTAGGGGGATACGCTATGGAATGACAACAGCTAACAGAAATTGTCTAGTCCACGCAGCATTGGTGACAACCTAATAGACCGAACTCCGGAATACATGGAAATACGGTATTTTCCCGAACGGCGCGTGAAGAAAAGGTGCTTTCTCTAGCCGAGTGGATCTGTCTACAAACGTAATCTTGCAAAACTTGTGAAAGCAAACAGAAGACAAACGAGCCGACCACACGGACGGGTCACTCGTTGGACGACAAATTTTGCTTTACCACAGCTCCTAGTCAGCCGGGCGCCTCCCCCCCCCCCCCCCCTTTACTGTGTGCTACAGCCGGGTCGCTCTAGTGATGGTTTGGTCAGCACAAACTATAATTTGGAAATTAGAGGGCATCACGTAAGTTCCCCTATGCTTTTCTACTTAGTGAACACCTTGATACGTGTATCGGATTGCTAATATTCTCGCACTATTGTGCCAGTTGTATTTAATTCTGCAACAATATGTACTAATGGCGTCCCGTCTTCTCTACCCAAATAAATTGTATAATGTATGTACTTCGTTTTTACTAAGCTAACTGTGTATTGGAACCTACATTCTACGTAGAACAGTCTTCGGTTCATCTATCGTCGCATGAGCACAGTTCCCGCCATGGCCACATGCAAAGAAAACGGCCGGGAGCTGTGCCGGTTGGTTTGACATGCTTCCTTGAACACCAGCTGAATATAGAGAAAACACAGAAGCACCAGCAGTGTGGTTCCTTGCGTTCTACTCTCCTTCGCTTTTTCTCTACGTTCAGCTGCTATTCAAGAAAGGAAAAGAAAAAAAAAACGGAATCAAGCAACAAGTTGCGTGCTTGGTGGTGCACCAAGCACGCAACATCCACCTTCCTGTCACGTTATGGGTAAACGTTTTGTACCAGGCTCAAAGCAAACCTTATCATGCTTAATATTATAAAATTTGTGATTCAATACTTACGACATAAATGCAGTCATATGTTCCCTGGAACAATTCGAGAACTTTCGATTTCCGGGCTCTGAAGGATGCATAATGAAGTGGTCATTCCTTCTAACTTTGCGGCAGTTGTTTCTTGGCGGAAGATATTTATTCCACGTATATGTTTTTCCATCGTGAGGCGCCCCAAGACTGCAATATTAGGAAGTAAAAATTGATATCCTTATTATTTTTCGCTGGAGTGCACTTTACCCCTTCATACACCGGTCTACCTCCTTCTTTCTCTGTGTGAATCGCTTTTTTCCCTCCTTTAATTCGATGGTTCACTGCTAGTGACCAGTGGCCGATTAACTGTAGGGTTCATTACTTTCCCAATTTGACCCCATAGTTTTCAGTAGAAGTTCTCTCAAGTATAAAAAAGACCAAGCTCCAATATCTCTCTTTTTACAAATCACAAAAGAAAATTACGGTAAATTTTATGTCCTCAGTTTTGTGTATCGAAATACAGATCGTATATTTTCATGGCTACTTACAATTGTTTCTGTGTAGAATCAATTATCTAAACATCACCTGTACGCACAATTTACGACCCCCAAACTTTGAAATATTGAATTTGTATTTATAACATATTTCGTGGGTTGGCAGGAGGTAAATGAAACACATGAAAAAAGTGTCCGTACGCCACACAGGTTTGGCATG